CCAGGTTCCAGTCCAAAAATTGTTTCAAATGGTGCGTTGGCCAGGAATTTCTCAGTAAGTCAGTCAACCCTCTTCATGTCGAATGGTGAGTAGCCAGAGAGTCTGTCCTTCTCCCTTTTCTGTCTCTTGTATAACTTTGGAGGCTGATGGATGCCTGCTAGAACTTAAAATTGGCTGTCGTCTTAAAAGCAGGCATTTCTCTTTCCTTCACTGCTCCTTTCATCTGCCTTTTTCTTCTGCTTTCTACCTCAGTCAGGTCAAATAGTATCCAGCCAAAACCACTGCATCCGCAGTCCAGATCCCATTAAGCTTAACTCCTCAGTCTCCATTTGTGCAGGCCTTTATAGTAAGGGTACTGGGGAAAAACTTCTAGGTGAGAGTTAAGAAATGGGAGACCAGCTGTTTCCCACTCCTGGCATACAAGTGTGACTCTAGATCTTCCCATCAGGCATAATAGGAATTAATCACAGCCCTTAGCCACTTCTGCCACCACCCAGTAGAAGTTTTAGCCTTTTAGAGAATTCAGCATTACAGCCAGGCACAGTATTAAGTTAGCCCATTAATTACTAGGTAACTTGCCTCTCACCTTTATTGTGATTCTGTAAAATGGTTGCACACTCTCAGGAGTGTTCTTAAAAGTCTCATTTTCACCATGTTTTTATTTCCCAGTCCCTCATTTGAAATTTGGATAGGTGAGCCATTTCTCACAAATTAGGGATGCTTCTGAGACTCTCTATACCCATGTAGAGGGAAAGGCTAGTTCAAGGGGTTGCGCCGCACCTGATTTTGGTTGGCCTCTTGGCTTGAGCCCAATCTCTTCATGGATGCTATAGAATAGGCCCGAGACGATTTTTCTGTAGAAAATGGTGAAAATGACACAAGGGGAATATATGCGAGGCAACCAGGCAAGCCACATGGCCAAAATAGTCCATTGGAAAAATATTGAGGTTCTGGGAGAGTCAGTTCCCCAAACCAGGGCAAGGGACATTGTTTATTAAAAAAATTAAACCTTTATTGTTCAGATTAT